AGCAATTCATCTTTCAAAGATTTCACAACCTTTGAATTCAATATCAGTTCACTACAGGTAATTCTGCTATAATTCGTGTTTCGTTAACGTGAATTGGCTGTAACACGATTGATGAATAGTGGACACTGTTTGGATAACGCGAATATTCTGCTGTACAGGTCTGTCGATTTTCCTATAACGCGATTTTCTATAGCATGAGGTCACACAAGAACGCAACCATCACATTATAAGAAAACTACACGTATTTTCAGATCACAATCTCTGCTCACATTCTTTTGAATATCAGGTGCCCTGGTAATGCTTCTGTTCATTGCACCAGTATTGTCTTCCAGGCCATCACAGAGATTCTCTTTCATTTCCTTTCCCTTCCCTTGTCCCTGCATGTGCTTAAAATCTGTCACAGCCCATTGTGCAATTCTGATAAAAGGGTCAGATATTTCTCTACAGACACTGCTCAACATAAACTAGGGTTGTATTCCTCCAAATTTAAAAATGGTTAAAGGGTGATCTGATTAAAGTTTTCAAAGAATTACGGTTAACTCATACTATAGCTGAAGAAACTAGGGGTCACACACAAATATTTGGGTGATACCTTTCAGGAGTGAAATTACAAAGTGTGTTCAGAGTGTGGAACTCTTCAGCAAATAGTAATTGATGCTGAGCTGCTGGTTTAAAACTAGAGACTGGCAGATTATATTCTGAAAAGTATTAAATGATATATAGCAAAAGGTGAGTATATGCTGTCAGGTCATTAATCAAGCCCTGGATGGCAAAACAGAGTCCAGGAACTAATTGATTTCTTTCCATTCCTATTTTTTTGCTTTTTATCCCAAAGTGCACTGACTGCCCGATCCACATTAACACATAACTGTTATCCCATCTTATACTTCCATAAACTTTACTTTCCAGTGGTATTTTATAGTCTACCTCAATGTCTGCCAAACTCCCTCCTTTTGGGTCATCAGCAGGTTTTGGGATTGCATTCCCTATACCCAGTCCAAATCTTCAATACTGCAATCACAAATATTTTTACAAAGTTTTAATCCCAGAGTTAATTTACATCAAACCTTTTCCATTCCAAGCAACACTCATTTATCCTGTTTCTATATCATAAGTCCCCACGCCAATTAATGTGTCTAACTTTCCAATTTTGTTTTACACATTTTGTGGATTGACATCAATCTCACCAAATTGCAATTTTTTGGACAATTGGGATCCTTTGTCTTGATTTTATTAGCTGAATGCTTTCATAATTATTTCCACTTTTCTTTGTTTAATCTCCTATCTTATTTCTCTTCCTTACCTCCTAACATTGCAGAATTTATCTCAGAAAATTCTCCTGTCTCTTCTTAGTAACTATTAACCCAGCTCCCCCTTCAAGTCACAAGCTAAAACGTGCCCCACCATGTCCAAACCTTTCTCCACAACCGTACCACATTGTGTTATTATTTAGTAGGATCTGGTAAGGATGCTCAAGACCAAATGGAACTGGGAAACAAGTGATGATTATGTGTTAATTAAAGGATAATTGGGTGAGAACTGGATGTACCTATGAGGAATAAGGTTGAGTTTTGTGACCTGTAAATTGAAATAAAACTGACTAGAAAAGTGTATGTCTGGACTCTGTCTAACCAACCTCTTCCAACCCATTCCTCAAGCACACAAAACCACGGCTTCCATTTTCTGCAAGTAAAATGCATTCAGAATACTGAGATTCTGAGATGGTCCACTCTCTATGGGTTCACTGCATTGCCATGTCTTTCTTAAAGAAATTATGACAGTGATGGCCTGAACTTCTACTAGCGCCAGGCGTGTAAGATTAATTCCTCTAACTCAGGTGCTGATGTTGGGGTGGGATGGGAGGGGTGGTGTGGGGGCAGTGCTAACCACCATGCTTTTCTGGTCTTTTATCAGCTCCGTTCATATACTGCAGGCATACATATAAACAAATGTCAATTGACAGCTAATGAAACCTCTTTCACAATCAGTAAACTACTGGTGTTCCAAACACGTCGAGTATTGGACAGCTAATATTAAATAAATTAAAACACATTTAACAGCACACTAAAACGCATAAGTGAATATTTCAAAAGCTTGGTGCTGATCATCACCCTCCTGGGTCCAAGTGCTGCACTCCATTATTAGAAGTTCAATCTTTGAAGTTAATCTGAACCTGAGGCCACCATCTGCCTGTTCAAGTGGACATAACTTCCAATGACAACACAGAACCCTGGAATACTGCACTAATAGCCCAAGCAATAATAGAACTGTAAAGTTGTACAGCATGGAAACACAGCCCCTTTGGTCCAACTCACCCATGCCAATCAGATATCCTAAATTAATCTGTCATTTGCCAGCATTTGGCCTGTATCCCTCTAAATCCTTCCTATTCATGTACCTATCCAGATGCCTTTTAAATATTCTAATTATACCAGCCTCCACCACTTCCTCTGGCAGCTGATTTTATACACACACCACCCTCTGCACAAAAAAGTTGCCCCTAGGTCTCTTAAATCTTTCCCCTCTCACCTTAAACCTACGCCCAATAGTTTTGGACTCCCCTGCCCTGGGAAAAAGACCTTGACTATTCATCCTATCCATGCCCCTAATGATTTTATAAACGTCAATATGGTTATCCCTCAGCCTCTCACGCTCCATGAAAAACAGCCCCAGCCTGTTCAGCCTCCCCCGATATCTCAAACCCTCGAACACCGGCAACATCCTTGTAAATCTTTTCTGAACCTTTTCCAGTTTAACAACTTCCTTCTTATAGCAGGGAGACTAGAATTGAACACAGTATTCCAAAAGTGGCCTAACCATTGTCCTGTACAGCTGTAACATGACCTCCCAACTCCTATACTCAATGTGCTGACCAATAAAAGCAAGCTTACCAAATGCCTTCTTCACCATCTTGTCTATCTGCAACTCCACCTTCAAGAAACTAAGAATCAGTCCCCAAGATCTCTTTGTTTGGCAACACGCCCCAGGGCTCTACCATTAAGTGTATAAGTCCCATCCTGATTTGCTTTACCAAATGCAGCACCTCACATTTGCCTAAATTAAACTCCATCTGCCACTCCTTGGCCCATCAGATCAACATCCCGTTGCACTCAGATAATATTCTTTACTTTGCACTACACCACCAATTTTGGTGTCATCTGCAAACTTACCAACCATGCCTCCTATATTCACATCCAAATCATTTATATAAATGACAAAAAGCAGTGGACTCAGCACCAATTCTTGCAGCACACCACTGGTCACAGGCCTCCAGTCCGAAAAACAACCCTCCAGCACCACCCTCGATCACCTACCTTCAAGCGAAATGGCTAGGTCTCCTATATTCCATGTGATCTAACCTTGCAGGGTGCTGCAAGGATCGGGACTGGGTCCACTGCTTTTTGTCATTTATATAAATGATTTGGATGGGAATATAGGAGGTAACATTAATGAGTTTGCAGATAACACCAAAATTCGTGGTCTGGTGGACAGCAAAGAAAGTTACTTCAGAATACAAAATGATCTTGATCAGATGGGCCAAGGAGTAGCAGATAGAGCTTAATCTAGATAAATGTGAGATGCTACATTTTGGTTTGGCAAATCAGGGCAGGACTTATACACTTAATGGTAAGGTCCTAGGGAGTGTTGCCAAAGAGACCTTGGAGTGCAGATTCACAGTTCCTTGAAAGTGGAGTCGCAGGTAGACAGGGCAGTGAAGAAGGCATTTGGTTTGCTTGCCTTTATAGGTCAGCGCATTAAATATAGGAGTTGGGAGGTCATGTTGCGGCCGTACAGCACATTGGTTAGGCCACTTTTGGAATACTGTGCTCAGTTCTGGTCTCCCTGCATGGAAAAGATGCTGTTAAACATGAAAGGGTTCAGAAAAGATTTACAAGGATGTTGGAGGGTTTGAGCTATGGGCAGAAGTTGAATAGGTTGGAGTGTTGGAGGCTGAGGGGTGACTTTACAGAGGTTTATAAAATCATGAGGAGCATGAATAGGGTGAATAGTCAAGGTTTATTCCCCAGGGTAGGGGAGTCCAAAACCTGACAGTAATAGGTTTAAGGCAAGAGAGGAAAGATTTAAAAGGGACCTGAGAGGCAACGTTTTTACACAGAGAATGGCGCATGTCTAGAACAAGCTACCAGAGGAAGTGGTGGAGACAGGTACAATTACAACATTTAAAAGGCATCTGGACGGGTATATGATTAGAAAGGATTTAGAGGGAACTGGGCCAAATTATTTTAGGATATCTAGTCCACATGGAAGAGTTGGACTAAAAGGTCTGTTTCTGTGCCGGACATCTCTATGACTCTATAACCAGTCTATCACGTGGAACCTTGTCGAACACTTTGCTGAAGTCCACATAGACAACGTCCACCACACTGCCTTCATTAATCTTCTTTGTCACTTCTTCAAAAAACTCAAACAAGTTAGTCAGAGACAATTTCCCATGCACAAAGCCATATTGACTATCCTTAATCACAGCCTTTCCAAATACACGTAAATCCTATCTTTCAATCCCTTCCAGTAACTTACCCAGCACTGACGTCCGACTCACCGGTCTACAGTTCCCTAGCTCTTCCTTACCACCTTTCTAAAATAATGGCACCACATTAGTCACCTTCCTGCCTTCCGTTACCTCACCTGTGGCAAAATTTTTTTTAATCCAATGTTACAATAAATAGCTCAACCAGCAGCTGTCCTCTTTCGTAGGGCCTTTCTGTACATAAGATGGTTGCTACATTTGCCTACATTGCAGGAACTGTACTACTAAAAACAAAGCTTCATTGCATGTAAAGCATTTTGGGATGTTGCAATGATGTAACAAAGCATCACATAATCATAAGTTCCCTCTTCCATATAGCCTCAGATTTGGATATTCAGCAGGTTTGGAGGTGCCATGTACAAAATTTAAAGCAGCATGTAAGCCAGGCCCAAAAAAAATCAAGATAATTCAGCTAAACAGAAAATACCATATTAAATAAACCAGAACATACTGTGGAGGCGGTCTACTTGATGTCCCTGCTGTACTGGTACTGGGCTCTTCTGCTATTCCACCACCATCCAAGTACATTGTGACAGCCATCTCCAGATTGTTGCCGCATGCTTCTAATATGTGCTTCCCAACACTTTCACTGGCACCTAAATCACATAAAAACTTATTAGAGAGCTCAAGGTATCCACCACAAAACCTAATATTTAATGGCATATGTGTTGTTTAACTGCATATAGGTATACAGATAGACCATTACCCTATATAAACATAAGCCACTTCATTAATGTTGCCACTATTTCAACAGTGTCATGATTACCAGTATGCTATGGTTTAAAAAAAAACAAACCAGTAACAATCTTAATGAATTGAAGTCTCACATCTCAAATTGCTAGCAGGACACCTGTGAGTACCAGTACTCAACTCAGCATTACATACAGGTACATAGAATATGCACCGCAGAAACAAGCCAAACAAAAACCTAACTAGTCCGCACTGGTGTTTATACGCTACACAAATTTGCAATTCTGCCCACTCTATCATAGCCTTTCAGTATATTTTTCTATTGTATTCTCTTTTGCCTCCTGTCCAGTTTCCTTTTCAAAGTGTCTTAAGTAATTTATCTCAATCACTTCCTGTGGTAACAAGTTCACATTCTAACCACTAAGTGAAGATATTGCTCCTCACTTCCCAGTTGGATTTATTAGTAATTACCTTGCACTTTTGTTGCTACCTTTCGATTCTCCCACAAGTGGAAAATATAGGAGATATCTGATTGCACTGGAGTGTGTGCAGGACCAGGATGTTAGGTGGATTGGAGTTTTAATTATGAAGACAGATTGGATAGACTGAGCTTGTTTTCCTTGGAACAGATGAAACTGAGGTGGGACATAGGTAGAATAGACTTGAAGGAACTGTTCTCCTTGGAGGAGGGATCAATGATGGGGGGAATGATTTAAGGTACAGGGCAGGAGGCTTAGAGAGGGTGTGAGGAACTTTTTTTTCCCCACTCAGAGGCTGGTGGGAATCTCGAACTCACTGCCTGCAAGGATGGTGGAGGCTGAAATAAATGTTATGAGGGTTCTATGTGCATTTGTGATGCCAATGCATTCAAGGCTATGAGATCAGCGCTAGAAAATGGATTTAGAAGAGATCAGTGCTTTTTTTTTGACATGTGCAGACTCAATGGGCCAAAGTCAATTTTCTGTGCTGTAGACCCTTATGGTTCTATTCCTTCCTTATCTATTCTGTCTAATCCATTCATCATGTTAAAAATCTCTATCAGGTTATCTGGACGTTTTCTCTTATACTAAACAGAATCCCAATCAATCTTTCCCAATCACTATGGTGGCTCCGTTCCGGTACTCGCCTTCCGAACTTTTTTTGCACTTTCTCCCACATTTCTACTTTTTTGTAGAGCACAGAACGTAGAGCAGTGCAGTGCTCTAAATGCACCAAGCAAGGTCTAAGACAAGTTTAACATAACTGCATGACTTTGAAACCTATGCTACTGAAAGCAAATCCTCTGCTTTGTTAACATTTTAATTGCCTTGCAGACCTGCAATGATGCTTTTGATAATGTATTCACTGATGTACTTTTTGCTTCCTGTACTGCTTCCTGCCAAAGTGCAGCACTACACCTAGGGCTTTTGTCCCTCCCTCTGAGCTAAGAGGTCCTGAGTTCAAGTCCTACCTGCCCTGGATATGTGTCACAACACATCTGAACAGACTGATCAAAATAAATGCATCACCACATGTTTACCTGTCAATGTTTATTAGTCATTTAACTATCCACACTGCAAGTTTCCTAATGTCCTCCTGTATTATGTTAATTCTTTAAATATAGCTACAAACATCGTACCAATTTTGGCATCATCTTGGCAAAGACCCTGTCCTTAAATCATCGAATGACATACATGGCATCATTAGGGCTCATCAGGCATTCTCTTTGGTACACCTTTCCGATTAGTCCTGCCCCCACCTGTTCCTAAAACCAGGCTGTGCAATTCTTTTTCTCCTTGTAGTATTTATCTAATCCCATTGAAAAAGTTATGTATCAATTTGCTTCCCTTTCAAGCAGCATATTCCAGGTTATTGTAACTGGTTGCGTAAAAGTAATTTTCCATCTGCTTTCTTGTTCTTTTGCCAATTACTTTTAAACTTCCTTTGGTTACCAACCCTCAGTGTAGAAAATGTTCAAGGGACCGAGTCCTGTTCCTTTATTTTTGAGATGTTTCTCATTTATTTCATCAAAATACTTCCTAATTTTGAACACCTTTCTTAAATCTCTCCTGAACTTTCATGGCTGAGAACACTCCCAGTTTCTCTAACGGCTCCACAAGGCTGCTTTGCTCATCCATACCATTCCAGTAATTCTCCTAAGCACTGGATTCAAGGACTTGGTATTCTTTTTACAGTAGAACTTCCAAGTTTTCCCTTGCATGATCCCATTGTAGTGCCCCAGATATTGTGCAACGGAACAGTGAAAATTTGGGGGGGAAGCAAGAGCTGTTGGGGGTGCGGGTGTGCAGCGGTGGTCATCATTTGCTCAGCAGGGTTTGCGGGGAGGGGGTGTGGGTTAGTCGTAAGTGTGAGGTCATCCATTTTGGTAGGAATAACAGCAAAATGGACTATTTTTTAAATGGTAAAAAATTGCAGCACGATGCTGTGCAAAGGGACTTGGGTGTCCTCGTGCATGAATCACTGAAGGTGGGATTGCAGGTGCAGCAGGTAATTAAAAAGGCAAATGGAATTTTGTCTGCCATTGCTCGAGGGATGGAGTTTAAAAACAGGGAGGCTATGCTGCAGCTGTATAGGGTCCTGGTGGGGCCACACCTGGGGTACTGCGTGCAGTTTTGGTCTCCTTATTTGAGAAGAGATATAGTAGCACTGGAGGGGGTGCAGAGGAGATTCACTCGGTTGATTCCAGAGTTGAGAGGGTTGGATTATGAGGAGAGACTGAGTAGACTGGGATTATACTCATTGGAATTCAGAAGAATGAGGGGAGATCTCATAGAAACATATAAGATTATGAAGGGAATAGATAAAGTGGAGGCAGGGAGGTTGTTTCCGTTAGCAGGTGAAACTAGGACTAGAGGGCATCGCCTCAAAATAAAGGGAAGCAGATGTAGGACTGAGGTCAGGAGGAACTTCTTCACCCAAAGGGTTGTGAATCTGTGGAATTCCCTGCCCAGTGAAGCGGTTGAAGCTACCTCGCTGAATGTTTTTAAGGCAAGGCTAGATAAATTTTTGAACAGTAAAGGAATTAAGGGTTATGGTGAGTGGGCAGGTAAGTGGAGCTGAGTCTCAAAGATCAGCCATGATCTTATTAAATGGCGGGGCAGGCTCGAGGGGCCGGATGGCCTACTCCTGCTCCTAGTTCTTATGTTCATAGTCATCACTTCAGAGAGTGCAGAACGTATAATTGCTTGGGAGTACTGAGCTGGAGTATTGCTAATAAAAGACATTTTGTCCAAGATTTCCATCTTGCACTCATCAAATTAGTTTGCAGGAATACCAATAAAGGGAAAACCGATATTCCTATTGTCTGATTGATTGATTGGTTGGCAAGTGAACTCTGATTGAGGCGTTCCCACGGAGAATACACAGTTAAAGGTGATTGACAGTTAATGCCTAGCTTTGTTTAGGTTTCAACAAGGATATTGACCTGAGAAATGAACCAGCAAATGGCCATCACCTGTTTTGTTGAGTTGAAACAGGTGCAGTGTACCCACATGTTCTTTGTCAATGGAAAGGACAGAATCCTGTGAAAATATACATAGCTTCCAGTACATGCAAGTGCACCATATTGCAAGCTTGAATGACAATCCTGAATTGGTTGGAAATGTAATTCTTTGTACGCTGATGACTGTCCACCACGTGTTGCCTGACTGCAGAACACTGACAGTGTTGCAAGTTTTGTAAGTATGTGCTGGTTGAGTGTGGTTTGTATCTTGATTGTTGACAACAGCTGAAGGGATATGCCGTTTCACAAGATCCTCCACAGTAGGAACATATGGCCTACATACCCAACATCACATTAGCACTGAAATCTATATTCATTTGTGTGATTACTGCATAGTAGATGCAAAATTGCTAGCTTCATCTGTTGCTAAAACTTTTAAGATACCTTCCAGGGTGATGAGATAGACTGGGCACTTTTCCGGACCAATAGCAACAAATGATTTGATTGGGATAGTCACTATCCTGTAGGAAGACTTTGGCACACCCTATTTCAGCATCAAACTTGGAGTATAGAAGTGGCTTGGTAGCCACTAACCTTCAAGCACATGGAACTGTAAGAGACTTAATGTGTACGTTGACAGCTGGGATCTACACAACCGGGAATTTGAGAAATCTCCCAGGATTCTCTAATATCATCTGAGGCAAACCAATCTTCATTAGTCAATATACATGTTGGGATTTCCATAGTTCCACACACTAAGATTGACTTTATTAGTAATGATGTAAAAAGGACCTGGACCATACGATCATTGTGAAATCCTGACGCTGAAATAGGCCACATCAAAGCCAGGCAGCACAATGGCTCAGTGTTTAGCACTCCCATCTCACAGCACCAGGGATGCAGATTTGTTTCCAGCCTTGGGTGATTGTCTGTGTGGAGTTTGCACGTTCCCCATGTGACTGTGTGGGTTTTCACTAGGTGCTCCAGTTTCCTCCCACAATCCGAAAGTGTGCAGGTTAGGTGAATTGGCCATTGTAAATGTGGGGTAATGGGGATAAGGTAGGATTAGTATGGACTCAACGGGCTGAATGGCTGCTTTCCACACTGTTAGGATTCCATGATTCATTCTGCAGGATAAAAACTACTTTAATCAGATCATTTCTCACTGTACATCTTGCAAACTCATGAAAAGGCCCAAGGCAGTCACTCTTGGTTCTGAAAAGTACCCAGTCTACCTCTGATTAAAAACGAGAAGAACTGCAGATGCTGTAAATCAGGAACAAAAACAAAGTTACTGGAAAAGCTCAGCAGGTCTGGCAGCATCTGTGAAGGAAAAAACAGAGTTAATGTTTCGGGTCCAGTGCTCTGAGGAAGGGTCACCGCACCCGAAACGTTAACTCTGTTTTCTCCTTCACAGATGCTGCCTGACCTGCTGAGCTTTTCCAGCAACTTTGATTACCCTGG